GTGTGCTCTTCCGATCTCCCCAAAACCCCAAAACCCCGCAAGAAAGATAACGATGTGCAAAATGTGAGATAAGCAAAATAAAACATATATTTAATATATAATATAGTCTATACATTCAAAATTAACTAATCATGATGAACAAGTAAGTCTACAATAAATGCGTCATCACAGATATAGCGGTAAAAAACCTAGTGAATCAAAGAGCAGTAAAAACAAAGATAAACAACAGAACAGTCAAGCATAGAAAAGCAATTAGAAAAAGCAATCACAGGATAACAAGTAAAATTCGAATATTGCTAATCTAAACTTATGATTAGACAGAATGATAAGAATGATAAGCAGTCAAGAAACAATAGTCCTAAAAAGGGTAGCTAGAGGAATTCAATTGTGAATGTAAAGAAAAATAGATTTAAAGTGTTCATATAGGCACAGTAAGTTGTATAAGCGTTAGAGAATAAGGATCATAAATCTAAAGATAAGTAGAATAAAACTCATACCGGTTCAAATTAGGATAGTCAGTAATAGAAAACACCACACGGACATCCCCATGATATTGATGATTGTGAAGATTTTTATGGAAGGTACTTTTGTTTAAATTTATGGCAATTTCCTATGTAGATTTTGGAATCCGCTTGTATCTTTCATGAAAAGATTCGGATTACGAACTAAAGTTAGCCCAAAACTAAAATTCTTGACTATGTACTAATGGAGAGAAATGAATAGGAATAAGTTTTAGCTTGGACTCTCATTCTGCTCCATTTTCGTTATTGTTTTGTCTACATTGCTGGTATCATCGAGTATAGAAAAGACTCCGGTTGCATTCTTCAATTTTGCACAAACTAACCACGGAGAAATTGACGCTATTATTACTCCCGGCCAGTCTGGTCCTAGTCAAGGAACAGAGAAATAGTATTTCTTAAATTATACGGCTATTACTGAAGGATTATCAAACTTCAAGTATCAGTTAAGTCCAAGGTACTATTTCCAATAACCTTAATTTTATTTAGGAAAACCTTTTGCGGTACTGAGATAAGAAAACACAATCCTGAAAATTAAGCCAATAATATGCAGTTACAATCTCATAATGGTTTTGATTAGCATAATAACGAAAATTTAACAGACACAGATCTTGCCAAATAAAATGTAATTCCAGATTATTGAAAGTTTAATGTAGATTATGGATGAAAGCCTTAGACACTTCACTTGTTTAGCTTTGATAGACACTGATAAGGAAAGATAGATCAGAATAGGAATCAATTACGAGTTGCCTAAGATGAAGCGAGGAGAATGCTATTTCCATTAGCAGCAATTAGATGATCTTGGCGCTAAAATAGGAGATACTTTAGAGCTAGATATAATGATTGAATAGCTTTATCTTGAGTTCATCAAGCTGTACAACAAGCATGCAGATTATTATGCTTTGCCGAAAATGCAAAATGTACAAATGACCTCAAGAACATAGGTGAAATGCAAAGTTATGCATGCTATTTAAAAACAGACATTAAAATTCAGCAAATAGTTTGATAAGATGACGAGCATGATGGAGTATGATCAATTTATGGGACTTATACTAGATAACCTGCCACAAGAATTGAAGGATAATGCTTTATTCTTGAGATTCTTAAAGCAGAGAAAAATTCGTTTAGAGGATTATGCTGATCATCTAGTAATGAGTTTGCCTACCCCTAGAAATAGATGGTACACAAAAAGATCCTATGATGAGACTCAATACATTGTTACTCATTACTTCAATAAATTCATTGACAGAGTTGGATTTTATTCCGTCTCAGTAGATTGTAAGCTATTGCTTGAGATCTCTAAAATTGCAAGAAATAATGTGCTTCTTACACTTCTTTTTGATTTTGTACTGCTTATGTTCATTGTTATATCAACCTTACTTATTCATTCTCTAATCATGATCAGAATCGAGACAAGATCTCTTGAAACTGCAGTAGCAAGAATGAATGGTTTGAATAAGCATGATCTTATCAAGATGATGATTATATCATGTTCATTCTTTGTGGTGCCTGCAGTAATTTTAGCTTTCATTTGCAGCTATCCATTACTTGGACTTTTATATTCTGCTGTCCTGAAGGAAAAACTCTAAGATGACTTTTTACCGATTCCTAGCCGTCAAGCAGTTGGATTAGCTTTATTTGTTAGCTTGATTGTTCCATTTTTGAGCGCTATAATGCCCATAAAGTAACAATTAGCCAAAAACCTAGCAGATGCATTGAGATTTGATAGAAGTAAGGTTTAATCCCATTCTTATTCAGTTGAGGAAAATTCCAAAGCTGAAATGATGCAAAAGACATGCTTTGGAATATTGACTACAGGATATGGATTTATAGTGTATTATTTTATGCCCTTAGCCATGATTTCAGATGATTTAGGAATGCTCTTAAGAATATTTTCATTCTTGCTTTTCTGCTTGGGAGTAGGTCTTTGCTTACTTTCAATGAACTTAGAGAGATCACTCGAGACCTTTTTAGTATGGTCATTTTTCTGGGAGCCTGAATCCTTTAAGAGATTATTAAAAAATAATCTTAGAGCTCATATGTCCAGAAACAAACTTACTACCCTAATATATTCCTTTGCTTTCGCTTTCATAATGTTTGTGATGTTCACTGTAAATACTTAAATCGACACTCATCAAAATCATGTACAACTTAGAAATGGGCAGTTTCCATCTTTTGAGTCTCTAGGCTCTAAAACAGCGATAGATGTGGAAAAAATTGATGATGCTCTTATGAAGCACAAAGATATCATTGAATCATTTAGTTATGTACCTTATGATTCAACCTAATACCCAGGCTCAAACGATAAGGAAATAAAGGTGACAGATGAATCAAGATAAATTGAATTCGAAGCTAAGTTATTTGGAATGATGCCAAATTTCTTTAAAACAACAGAGAAGAAGTTTTATGAAGTCTTCAGAAATAATAGTGGACTAGATATAACAGAGTAATTATACTCTGCCAGAGGATCACAGGGAGCTATTGTAGGTACTCTTGTGGGTCAGTTAGCTGGATAGAATTCACACAAAATAGAACAGCTAAAAACAATAGTTATTAACAAATTCCAGCAGAAATTTAAGCAATCAATAAAGATCAGGCCGATTATACAGCTTAATCAAGGTCCATTGTTAAAGTTTACAGACAGATTCCCACTTGAGAATTTATACTTTCACTCAGTTTTAATGTCACTACCTATGCTTGCTCATCATATAGGTATTAGAATTAAAGATATTCCATTTGAAAGACTGATAGTTAAGCTTAAGAGTGGTATAGATATTAAGGAAGAGTAAAAGATATTCAAGGAAATCAAGAACAATTTACCTCCACATGAGTTCAACTAAATTAAATTTGAATCAATGGATAGAAGTCATGCTTAAGTTCTAAAAGATATTATGCAGAATGTCTTCAATATGATTATCTTTTTGACACTGGCCCTTAGTTTCTTGTCATTAAGCTCTTCAATGACATCAAATATCTACGAGTAATCAAAAGAAATCGGTACTCTCAGAGCGATGGGACTGAAATAGAGCAGGCTTATCTAACTTTATGTGTATGAATCATACATACTGGCAGTTTCGAGTTCACTCCTTGGAGTAATGATAGGGTTTACAATGAGTTACACGCTGAACTGTCAGTTCAAGATACTGACGGGTATCCCTACTGCTTCTTACTATCCAACCTACTAAGTTTTAATTATAGCCCTCTCATCAACCGTTTGCGCCATTATTAGTACATACCGCCCTGTAAAGAAAATGACGGATCTGGAAATTTCCGATATACTAAGAATGGCATGATTCAATTTTTGGAATATCTATTGCTTTGATCGGCATGGTTCATTTAGACCTCATTAATTACTCTCATCAATAAAAAATAATAATTGTTTGTTAAATTTCATTGAAAATTAAAGAGCTGTCCCGATCTTAATTATTAATTTGCAAGTTCAATTACTTTTAACTTTTTCAATGCAAGGGGTTTTGGGGTTTTGGGGTTTTGGGG